CCTCATAAAAACATGTCTTTATGGACCTGGCTTTGTACATAGCAGCAGGGTCATGCTGGAACAGATATGGGGTTCCTCCACATCCTCATAAATCCATGTTTTTATGAACTTGGCTTTGTTCATAGCAGCAGGGTCATGCTGGAACAGATATGGGGTTCGACCATATCCTCATAAAAACCTGTCTCTATGGACCTGGCTTTGTACATAGCGGCAGGGTCATGCTGGAACAGATATGGGGTTCCTCCACATCCTCATAAAAACATATCTTTATGGACCTGGCTTTGTACATGGCAGCGGGGTCATGCTGGAATAGATATGGGGTTCCTCCACATCCTCATAAATCCATATCTTTATGGACCTGGCGTTGTACATAGCGGCAGGGTCATGTTGGAACAGATATGGGGTTCCTCCATATCCTCATAAAAACATGTTTTTATGGACCTGGCTTTGTACATAGCAGCAGGGTCATGCTGGAACAGATATGGGGTTCCTCCACATCCTTATAAAACCATGTCTTTACAGACCTGGCTTTGTACACAGGGGCAAAGTCATGCTGGAATAGAAGTGGGTCTTCCCCAAACTGTTACCACAAAGTTGGACGTGCACAGTTGGCTTTCTCTGTTGTAACATTAACAGTTCCCTTCACTGGAAACAAAATGGCCATTTAGGTAGATTTGACAGTCAGGCCATATAATGTGTCTCCTTTTTTTCTACTTTGTTCACTTTCTGGTATAGATAGCATTGCAGTTGTAGCTATATTCCGGGTGTGATGGGGGTCTAAATGTTCAGCAGGGGTATGCATGAGGGATATCATGATGGAAACAGTCACTGACGTGACCAAACAACTATAAAGTTTGTGAGAGAGTCTTCTAATAACTGAAAAATCTGTCTTGGATGGGCTGATCCATGAATTATTTTTCTGAATTGTACAGACATTTCAATAGAGCCCAGTGTAGCTGCAATTCTCTGGAATGTGTTGCTTGCTTCATGAAATCTTCAACTGCATTCCAAGAACTTCTGATAAATGTTGTTTGATTTTTCAGGTTTCTGGTATTGCTCTGTAATATATAGAACTCTTTTTTTTTAAATAATGTTTAGAAAAGCTAAAATTCCCAGCACGGCTTACATTTTACAGCTGGGATTATTCCTACCTAGGGCAATCTGTTTTCTGCTGGACACTGTCTATTTTATGGCTTTGTGTGGTTTTATCAGTTTAAAATTAAAATTTTTAAAAATATATAGAAAGAATAATGGGTAGATGCATGGTATGTAGGGCATCTAAGTCTGATACAGCCCTTAGCACAGGTCTCTAGCACCAGACATGTTTTTTTAGTATTAAAACGGTTTAGTCCTAAAACCTGTCACAAACCTCAGCATTTCATTCTGTATTTATGATTAAAGTTGCATATACAGAGGTTACCTCCAGTAACAACCATGTGGTTGATCTACTAAAGGCATATAGGCATTTCAATTTGCAAGGGAAGTGGCACGTTGCAATGGATTTTTCCTCAGAGCTTAGTGAATGCAGTAAAGCTCTGCTGCCTTACATCATCCAATCATGTGCAAGCAAAAATGCTGTTTTTTTCCTTGCATATGATTGTGTATTCTTTACAAAGTGAAATTTCACCACATTCACCAAGCCCTGGGGAAATGTTCCTTGTAAAGTGCAAATTCCCTTGAAAATTGAATAACCTATTTGCCTTCAATAAATCAATCCCTATATATCAAAATGATCCATATATTTAGACAGACAGCTGAAATTATTTCCATAAAAAAGTTGAACTTGAGCCTGTCCTCTGCCACCTCTCAAGTGTTCCTACATGCCAAAAAGCCAATTTCAATATTTAGGCCCATCTTGACTTGTACATGACCAATTAAGGTATATAACTTCAGCATCCTGTATATCTCCCGTAGTAGTAATAATAAAATAAAATAAAAATATTAAAAATATTACATTTCATTGCTTGAACCTAATTTTCAGTTTAAATGTGCCAAGTTTGTGACAGGCTTACTTAAAGTATATGAACAATTGAGTACTATCCGTGATACTTTTTTTATTTGCACTAGCATACAATTTTCAGGACAAGCTTTTGGGGTATGTCCTCTTCTTCAAGGTCCAAGCAGTACTTATTTATTTATTTATTTCAGGTACTTATATAACGCCATCATTTTACACAGCACTTTACATATATATATTGTACATTCACATCAGTCCCTAACCCTCAAGGGGCGTACAGACTAAGGTACATTATACATTACATTCATACATATACATACCAGGGCCAATGTAGACAGGAACCGATTAACCTACCAGCATGTCTTTGAAGGGACATACCACGAAAACTTGTCCTGAAAATTGTATGTTAGTACAAATTAAAAAAGTATCCCAGACAGAACTCAATTATTTCTGTCACAAGTGCACTAATAAGGCTACAATCACCCTAAAGTATATGTAAACCTTCACCTTGTAAAACAACCCATTAAGTATAAAATAGAAATGAAAAGCAAAACATTTATAAGTGATTACATTCCGTCTGTTCTCTTCTGCTAAAGAACTGGGGGAGGAGAAACAGCAGCACACTGATCTTCCCAGTGAATGGCTGTGCAGGGGGGGAGAGGGTGTCAGGACAAATCTGATCATTGGAGGAGAGCAGGCTGAGTTTCCAGAACAGTTAAAGAACTGACCACGGTGTTTTCTTCTGCTTAGTGTGGTCGGTTTTTAATAGGAAAGCAGAGGGACTGGCAGGAGCACCAGGGATTTCACACAAAGGAAGCAATACAAAGAGAACAAGATACTTTTTCTTACAAGCACATTATTATTATTACTCAGGATTTATATAGTGGCAACAGTTTGCTCAGCACTTTACAATATAACGGGAGACAATACAGCAGCAGTACAGTTCAATATAAGAGGGTTAGGAGGGCCTGCTCCTTGGAGCTTACAAACTAAGTACATGGTACAGCAGGCACATATCAGGAGTATGAAATGTTGGGTTTACATACTCTTTAAAGAAAAGTTTGGACTTATTTTATTTAGGCAATTTTTTTAATTGGTAGAAACAGCAGTAGGGCGGCATGTAGACCAAGTCGACACATCTGTAATAAATATCAATAACCAATATATGTAGAAGCTTTGAATATGTATATGTAGAAGCTTTGAATATTAATTTTCTACAACAAGTAAATAAGACCATTGCTTCCTCTTAGTAAATTTGTACAGATTTCAATTGTCATATAACGTTTTGTAGTTTGGCAATCTGGTAATAGGGACTACAGTGAAAGATTGCTCTATAGGATGTCATTTGAATAATACTTGGAGTAAGTTCTATTTGTGGAGGTTGTGCCCTGCCTTATCTCAGGATCTTCAATTTCCTATCCCTTCGGTATAGTCGCTACCCTCGCTACCCTCGGAAAGCCCAGTGTGAGTCTCTTCATGGCCCTTCTAGCAGTTAGTGAAGTGTGATGTTGACACAGCTGCTCAATTCAACTTCACATTGATATTGAAAATACTGCAGTCTATTCTTCCTGCTGGTGGAAAAGCCTGTAGAGGCAGCAGTGTGGGATCATTTACAAGGGTTTAATATTACCATTAGTTAATATAATGCACATACTACACGTACTCACTGTACACGTGTCGGGATACAAGTAGAGCAAAGCATTAATACTAACCTTCACTGTTGGTTATCACATGTTCAAAGCTTATTGGCAGCAAGAAAGTCATATGGTCAACGGAATTTTTTAAAGTTCATGTCATCAATTAAATTTTATATAAGGCAATGATTATCATTTGCTAAAGTAGAGTCAATAAAATGGCTCATTTCATCTGAAACTGGGATGTTGAGAGTTTATAAAATGTTGCACAGAAATGTAAAGCTGTTAGCTGGTAGAGATGAGCAGAGTGATTTTGGCAAAACTGAGTTAGCCTTGAAATTACCAAAATTAGCCCAAAATGTAAATTCACTTGTTAAGCAATCTAGGGGACATTTGTTTTTCGTGGGGTATTTTTTAATAGTATATATTAAGAGTACTTAAGTTCTTTTTATTTTGTGTTATTAGAATTTTTGTTTTTTTTTTTTTTTTTTCCGCATTCGAGTATTTGTATACACTCATTTTACATTTTTATTTTATTTTTCACAATTTTGTTTTGTAAAAAAATTGATATTAATGAGGCTAATAAGAGGTTATTACTTGGTAAAAGGAGAGTTGAAAGGAGCTTTCATAATCCTCAGAAGTCATTTATTGTGCCCTTGAAAGACCCTTTAGTTTACTTTGAGTCCACATTTGTTTTCCATGCAGTTTGCCAAAATGGTAAAATTTTGCTGAAATCTCCTACTAAAATTTCAGAAAAATAAAAAAAAATCTCAATTTCGCTCATCCCTGCTGTTGGCCACAACAACCAAAACATGATATTTTGCTAGTCCAGGCAATAAAAGTGAATTTCTTATTGGCTCTTATTAGAAACAGACATCTAATGCACGGGTGTCAAACTGGCGGCCCTCCAGCTGTTGCCAAACTACAAGTCCCATGAGGCATTGCAAGATTAACAGTTACAAGCATGACTCCCAAAGGCAGAAGCTTTTGGAAGTCATGGGACTTGATTGAGTCATGATGGGACTTGTAGCTTCGTAACAGCTGGAGGGCCGCCAGTTTGACACCCCTGATAATGCTTTCAATCCTTTAACTCAAGGGATCTCCTGGATTCTTTGAGTATCTGAAGCCAAGATATGATAAAATGTATGGCCTTACAAGCCAAACTCTATTTCTTTTTTTTTTTTAAGTCTTTTTGTGGGCCCTTTGACCCCCCATGGGGATGGAGCAAATAAACGTCTCCCATTAACAAAGTCTTCTTATAAATGGGTGGCGTTGCCTTTGAAAGTGCTATACCTGTATGTGTCATTGTAAAATAGAATAAGAAGCGCAAATGTTTAGTTTGTCTGATCATCCTACTTCATTATTTGCACTCATGCAGCTGTAGTCATAAGTCTTAAAGTGTTACTAAACCCAGGACCCTGCATTCACTAAATTTGGTCTTCCACAGAACATGGAAATGCAATTATTTTAGTAAATATAAACTGCTAAATACCTTTTCTTATCAGCAGTATATAGCAGTTATGTGAGTTCTATCAGTGTCCAGCCGAGCACTGGTTAATCTTGTAGGAGCTTTCATTCTCCTCTGACTGTCCTATGAGACTGCATAACCCCTGACCCTCTGTCTGGACAGTGCTGATTGGCCCTGTGCCTATCACATGCACTTCCCCCCTAAAAAAAACAAACTCTAGCAATACATGCCAAACAGAGCATGTGCAGACTTGGCACTGCTGCTCTAACTATGGCAGATGGATTGGGATCTGTGGAAGAAGGGGAGGATCAGAGAAGACAGGATCAAACAGCCTTTTTACACAATGCAGAGGATTAACCCCTTAGGTTCCACAGTGAGAATAGCAAGCATGCTTTACTGCATATACAGACTGATTTTACTACTGTGGGTAGTGGGGCACCAAAATGAAATGGCATAGACCAAAACTGAAAATTCAGGATGCACTTGGCCAAAAAACCGAAACCCGGAATGGACACGTTTTTAAAAATAAATATTTTTATATATAATTGTGTTATATACGACTTTTTAATTAATATAATGGACAGTAGATTGGACAGAACATAAAATGAAATATATATATACATTTAAAAAACTTAAATATGCTGCACAATAATGTAAAAAAAACACAGCCTTTATCAGCACCTTTGTAACCCTATTTTCGGAGGATAATTTTCAGAGGCCGATCGTTGCATCAATAGTTGTGGGCTTGGATACACTTTAATAATAATAATCAGGTGTAGGACATCAGAATGTATCAGGAGAGAGAATGCACTTTTATATCTGAGCAGGCGGAACTATATTTACCTTAAAAACCGCTGTAACAGTGGCATATCCAAGAAACGCTTGCTTGATTTAGGACTTACTTTGACACAATATTGGATAATCAAAACCCTGCTGTGGCTTGATGTGCATTTAAACAAGTAATCTGACTTGATGCATGGCTGGAAGTAACATATTGCAGGGTAGAAAGAAATAACAGAGGGACATAAAGCTTCATTAAATCAAGGTAGTTGCTCATATCCTCAGCATGTGTTATAACGATACCTGTCTCAGGACCATTTCTAATCTAAATCAATGGACTCTTCTCACTTTCCATGCCAGGCTGATTTTATCCCCCTTTCCTTTTATATTTATTATGTACTGATTGCCTGTATTCTTGTATTGAACCCTGCTGACTTGTATAAACCACTACAACCTGGTAATAGCTTTTTGACTTCCTTCTCAATGCCTGATTTGTTGTTGTTAAATATTACACAGTTTTGCAGTTGGTAAAAACGTTCTTCCTCTGTCTTTCCCTTCCTTACATGTATCTTTTTTTCTAAAGACCCATTTATTTTAAAGTGAAAATCTAAATCCAAAAATAAAAATTAGATTTTTTTCGTGCTGCTTACTAGCTCTTAAATGTGGTGGCTGCATTAGTTTTATTTTTTTTCAGGCTTTTTCACTTAAATTTCATCTGGTGATCCTGCCATTAACACATTTCCTGTCCTAGGGTTTACTACCCTTTCTCATTGTACTATATCTATGGAAAAGTGTCATTGACTCCTTAGGACAGAAAGAAGGGAATTAACTAAAACTGGTGCATTCAGAATCTGGTTCAGCTGTGCATAGTAGGCAATCAACTTCTAACTTCAGCCTGTTCAGTTAAGCTTCGGCAATAAAACCTGGAAGCTGATTGGTTTCTCTGCACAGTTGCACCAGATTTTGCACTCTCCATTTTTAATAAATAACCCCCACATTGTTTAGAACTACAAAACTCCCCTCTTCTTATCTCAGTAACATAAGGGAAGTATGTTGTAGTTCCCAAAGGGAATAATTTAATTGTTAAGATCAGGGGTCTCCAAGCTATCTAAACAAAGGACCAATTTACTGTCCTTCACACTTTAGGGGGGCTGGACTGTGTGTGTGTAGTGAGAGGAATAGTGCCCTATTGCTGGTGTCTGTGGGAGAAAGAATGCCCCAAGCATTGCTGTCAGTGTGAGGAATAGTGCCTCGTATCAGAGGGAGAACTAGTACTCTGATGACCAGATAAAGGCAAGCAAAGGGCTGCATCTGGCCCTCGGGCTACAGTTTGGAGACCACTGATTATTTATTTATTTCAGGTACTTATATGGCGTCATCAATTTACGCAGCGCTTTACCTATATATTATACATTCACATCAATCCCTAACCCTCAAGGAGCATACAATCTAAGGTCTCTAACGCACATACATACACATACTAGGGACAATTTAGACAGGATCCAATTAACCTACCAGCATGTCTTTGGAGTGTGGGAGGAAACCCACACAGGCACAGGGAGAACATGCAAACTCCAGGCAGGTGGTGCCGTAGCTGGGATTCAAACCAATGACCCTAGTACTGCTAGGTGGAAGTGCTAACCATTTAGCCACTGTGACTAGGAGTGTAGCACAAGCAGAGTGCACAGGAAGTTATAAGTTCTCAAGATATAAACAAATATCACTGCCACTCATGGAATGTCGTGTAACCTTGCCCTTTATTGGCTGTCAACTCCCCAGCTTTGCCAGACCATAATGTCCATTTACATATACTAGTGGAGTCCATGAAAATGGTAAATGAGGCTTTATTCCAACTAGTAAATGCACTAGCCAAATGCCTTGATGCATTTTGCTCTGTTGCACTTAGTCATAAGGCCCTTACGATGAAGCACAACGCTGTGAAACACGTCAGAGCCTTTCCATACTGTATGTGCTTTTGGGAATAAAGATTCCCACTGCTCTACCTCTTCCATGCACTCTATTTGTATATGCGTATCTCAAGAGTTCTGGCATTATCAACAGGTATCTTAATGAACTTTTTAAATTGCATATCGAAACAGATCAATACATATAAACACTATATTGCCAAAAGTATTGGGACATTCCTCCAAATCATTGTTCCAATCACCTCCATGGCCACAGGTATATACAATCAAGCACCTAGGCAGGCAGACTCCTTCTACAAATATTTGTGAAAGAATGGGTCGCTCTCAGGAGCTCAGTAAATTCAAGCGTGGTACCATGACACCTGTGCAATAAGTCCATCTGTGACATTTCCTTTCTACTAAATATTCCACGGTCAACTGTAAGTGGTATTATAACAAAGTGGAAGCAACTGAGAACAACAGCAACTCAGCCACAATGTGGTAGGCCACGTAAAATGACAGAGTGGGGTCAGCGCATACTGAAGCGCACAGTGTGTACAAGTTGCCAACTGTCTGTAGTCAATAGCTAAAGACCTCCAAACTTCGTGTGGCCTTCAGATTAGCACAATAACAGTGCGTAGAGAGCTTCATGGAATGGGTTTCCATGGTCGAGCAGATGCATCCAAGCCTTACATCACAAAGTGCAGTGCAAAGCTTCAGATGCAGTGGTGTAAAGCATGCTGCCACTGGACTCTAGAGCAGTGGAGATGTGTTCTTTGAAGTGATGAATCACACTTCTCTGTCTGGCAAGCTGATGGATGTGTCTGGGTCTGTAGGTTGCCAGGAGAACAGTACTTACCTAACTTCATTGTTCCAAATGTAAACTTTGGTGGATGGGGGATTATGGTGTGGGGCTGTGTTTCAGGGGTTGGGCTTGGCCCCTTAGTTCCAGTGAAGGGAATTCTTAAGGTTTCAGCATACCAAAGACATTTTGGACAATTTCATGCTCCCAACATTGTGGGAACAGTTTGAGGATGGCCCCTTTCTGTTCCAGCATGACTGCGCACCAGTGCACAAAGCAAGGACCATAAAGACATGGATGAGCAAGTTTCGGGTGGAGGAACTTGACTGGCCTGCCCTCAAACTGATAGAACACCTTAGGGATAAATTAGAGCGGAGACTGTGAGCCAGGCCTTCTCGTCCGACATCAGTGCCTGACCTCACAAATGCGTTTCTATGCTCAAACATTCCCATAGACACCCTCCTAAACCTGTGGACAGCCTTCCCAGAAGAGTTGAAGCTGTTATAGCTGCAAAGGGTGGGCCAACTCAATATTGAACCCTACAGACTAAGACTGGGATGCCATTAAAGTTCATATGCGTGTAAAGGCAGGCGTCCCAATTCTTTTGGCAATATATATATATATATATATATATATATAATAAAGTCCATTGACAGGGGTTATATAAATATTATTAATTTCACAGCTGTTCTTTTCAAGATAGTTGATCAAGATAATAGTAATAATAACAGCAATAATGACTGGTACAAATTCCAGTACACATTGTCAAAATAAGAAAAAAAAAGTCAAAAGTAAGCAAAATAAAACTATTACTCTTTTTTAGTTGTTTCAAAGAAAACCTGCCAGTCATTCTATTCCCTTTGAGGTCAGCGAGGGCGAGGTATAAAGTTATTCAGAGACTGAACATTCACCTTCTTAGGTTTACTTACACCGAAAGTGTTTAAAGCCAGCCTGCTGTGACATAAACGTGACCTCTTCTAATAACCCCAATAGTTAAAATTCCACCAGTGTCTCAAGCACTCCCTGAACTCCAGATAATTCGCCCTGTGTCATTTGAGCAAATGTTAAGCTAGGGTGTAAATACCTGTAGTATATACATAGTATGCTCTAATTTCACAGTGCTGGACCCTTGAGAAACAAAAAAATGTCAGTTGCAACAGTGCATGATACTGACTTATATTGAGCAGTTTTACAAAATTTGTGTGTATTTACTCAAATTTTCAGATAGGACTTTTATGCTTATTCAAGATTATTGTGTTTTTTTTTTGCAACCAGTATACAAACCTGAATCTGTCTTCATATTATCCTCCTGGAATACCTTATACAGCAGCACTAAAGCTGGTAGAAGAAATGGGCAGCCCTGTAAGTTGCTCTGTTTGCTTTGCACATTGCTGTTAGCAACATGCATACAAGAGGGTAGATTCGAGGGTTCAGACTATGCTAATTCTCTCATTGCCCTTCCAAACATGCCCAACAAGGTGCCCAATCCACTTTCCTATCTGGCAAATCTCACAAGGTTTTTTGGATATGCCATGCCAAAATAAGGTCAGTGACCCAAGAACAAAAAGAAAATATATCACAGCTTATCAGTTCTTAGAA